TCTCGTCTTCGCTGGAATCGCTGAACAGCAGGACGAGGACCCTGAGGCGATAGTACGTGAGTTCCTCCAGAAGAAGCTGAAAATCCCGGCGGACCAGGTAAAAAACATCACCTTCCATCGCGTTCACCGGCTCGGAGGTAAGAAGCCTGATAAATCCCGTCCTAGACCAATTGTAGCTAAGTTTGAGCATTACAAGCAGAAAGAGCAGGTCAGGAGTCAGGGCAGAGAGCTGAGAGGAACAGATTTCAGCGTCAATGACCAGTATCCAAAGGAAATATTAGATCGCAGGCGAGCGTTATTCCCAATCAGGAAGAAATACATCAGTGAAGGCGTCAGAGCTACAGTAGCAGTTGACAAACTTTATATTAATGGTCAGTTGTTCAGGGATCAGAAGATCACTCCTTGGCTTTATTAGATGCACAACAGGCAGGTTTAAAAGCATGTGACACCTGATTAAAGTGTATAGAACATTTCACGGTGATAAATGAAATATATGCACAGCTCTAGAGCACGTTTGAAAGGGTAGACTGCAGTTACAGCTGGGTTCAGAATGCTTTTTGGGCTGGGGTTTTTTTTCTTTAACCTTTTCTCCTCATTGCACTCTTTTAAATTTTTGTTTTCCCCTTTTTCCCTTTTATTCGTCTGTTTTCCCCTGGGGGTCCACACAATCACAAGCACACCGGGTTTTTTGATGTCCCTGGGTCAAGGTATAACTCTTTTTTCAAAGGAAATGTATTTTTTAAACTTTTTCACTCAAAAACCTAGGGAGAATTTTAAGGGTTTTGTGACAGGAATGTGCATGGGGCTGGCCCGGAGAGAAAAAGTTTAAAGGTTTTTTAACCAGAAAAAAGTTTAAAATGCAGATGTTGTCTTATTGCAAGAAACCCAAAAATTCGGGGGCATTATAAGTGATTTTTAACTCCCCTGGTTTCCCTGATGTTTTGCAGCCTTTTTATAATCGAGACGAGAGGGGTAGTTTATTTTAATCCCCCAAAAAACCTCATTTTTTACTTTATTAGACAAAATTTTTAGACCCCTAAAGGGCAAAATTCTTTTTAATTAAAAAATCTATTTTTAACCAAAAGTTTTGTATTGTCAAATATAGGTCCAAATGTTGCCGCCCCCCTCATTTTTCCCCACAAATTTTTTCATCACTTTCAAAGCAGGGGGTTTGGTTTTCTCAAATTTTTTGGGGGGGTGACCTCAACTTTGGCCTAAAATGGAGAAAATGGACAGGGGGAGTACAACGGGCCCCGCGCATTTGGGGCAATCATTAAATGTAGTAAAAAAATTTACTTGAGTGATTTTGGTTTTTTGCGTTTGCTGGCGATCTCTTTTTCCAAAAAACATAAGGAAAAACATTTTCTTTTCCAATGTCCATCTTCCTCTCTTCGTCTGGACTTTTTCCCTAATCAGCAGCTCACTGCTGTCTGACGTTTTCAGTTTGCTTTTAATCCATCCTTTTGCGGTCGTGACCCATGTCCTGTTTTTTAACCAAAAAAAACCCTAAAAAATAAAAAAATGGGTCCCAAAAACAAGAGCTGGGGTTTAAAATTTACATCACTGCTTAAAGAGGGAAGAGTTTCTAAAAATTTTTTCAAGGAAGATTTGGGCATCTACTTGGTGTGAAATTTAAATTTACCGGAAACCCCTTCAGCATCTAAAATATGGGAGGCAGGGAAAAGCGTGTTGAGGGGAAAAATTATTTTTTTTTCCCATCTCAAAAAAAAAAAGTTAGAAAAAAAAAAGATCCAAATTAAGGGGGAAAAAAAAAGTTACAAAGAAAACTCGCTGGGAAAAGATGAAAAAAAGGTTGGGGGGAAAATCCGTAAAAAAAAACAAAACAAAAACGAATTTATTAAAAAAACAAAAAAAATTTTTTAATTCAAAGACTTCAAATTGCAACTTTGAACATAGAAATAAGCCCGGAAGCTTTCTTAGCCCCCCCAGCTAAAAAAAAACCCAAAGAAAAAAACACTATATTTGCAGTTACAAAATTAAATTGGGAAAATACTTTAAAGGGAAACCCGGAAAGGATTTTTAAAACAATCCCTTTCCGAGATTTTTTAAAATTTTTAACACATCACAGAAAAAATCCATCAAAAAAATTGATACCCAAGGGCGATTTTGGGAAAAAATAACTCTTCCAAAATTATCGGGAGAGAAAAGGCAAACCCCTGGACCCCCGTCTTCTACGCTGAAGCTCAGGAAGCTTTTTAAAAACATGCCAAATAAAAAAGCGCCGGGCCAAAAGGGGGTTCCCTAAAAAAGTTCTTTTAAAGAGTTTTTTGGGACATTCTGGCCCCCCCTTTTCCACGGGAAGCGGGCAGGAAACCCCTAGATAATGGAAAAATTTCCATTTAATATGAATTCTGCCCACCATTCGCCCTTGTTTTAAGCCAGGCAAAGACCCTTTTGGTTCCCGCCCAGCTATCGCCCCCTTACCCTTTAAATTAAATTTGTGGATATTAAAAAAATTTCTGTAAAGTTTTAGCAAAAGGGTTTAATAAAGTCACTTCTCTCTTTAATCCCCCCAGTCAAACTGGTTTCATTAAAAGGGGAAGGGCAGTCGGGCTGTTTAAAAAACCCCGGCCAGCCCGTTTGTTTTTAAAGGGGGTTTATTCCTACAGCAAAAATCTTAAATCCTAATTTTGTCCTTAGATGCAAAAAAAGCTTTCAAATAGAGTAAACTGGAAATTTTTATTTGCTTTTTTCTAAAAAAAATTTATTATAAAAAAAATTTTAAATAAAATTTTCCCAAAAGCCTGTGCCCAAGGAAAAACAAAAAAACACCCTTCCAGTTTTTGTCCCAGGGGGAAACCAGACAGGGAGCCCCCTCTCCCCCTCCTTTTTGCGATTTTTTATTAAAGCCTTCTGGCTACAATCAGGACAAACAAATATAAATTAAAAAGGTTTTAAAAGGCATAAAAATTTGGAGAAAATAAAAAAAAGTTTTTTTTACCCCCAGAGATGAAATTACTTTATCTCCAGAAACTCAAACACTTGCCTCTCCCCAGTAAATTTTTTTACTGGGAAATCTTTCCAAAAAATCTCAAAATTTACCCCAAAAAAATAAATTTGGGGCCCCAAAATTTTTTCTGTAATACTCCCCAATTAATTGCCCCTTTCAGAATCCCTCGGTTCTCCCAATTGAAAATCGGGGGAAATATAAAAAACCTATTTGGGGAATTTTACTGTGTCATCTAAAACGGGAAGTTCCAAAACCAAACACCCCCTCTTTTAAAAAAAATAAAAGGGCGGCCCCCCTAAAAAAGATGGGAAATTGGGTTTTCCGACCCCAAACCTTTTTGGGTCGGGTAGCCCCATTTAAAATTTTAAAGGGTTCTTACCGGGAACCCTTAACTACCTTTTTCCCAAATGACCCCAAATAAAACCATAAACCGAAGGGTTTTAAAAATTTCCTTAGATTTTTTCCAAATTCCTCAAATTTCTTTTGGAAGGACAAAACCCCCTCGTTAAAAGTTTAAAAAAACACTCCCAGAAAATTTAAAGACAGAGGGGACTAGATTACCTAACCCCAAAATATTTATTTGAAAATAGATTAAAATACATCTCTAAAAGGAAAAAAACATAACCCCTTAGATGAGCCCGGGGATAAAAACACAGAAAAAGGAAAAATATGCAGAAATATAATAATCTCAAGTTTTGGGCCGTTTATTAGCTCTAAAGATCAAAACGGCCCCCATGTTTTCAAAAATTTAACTCACTTTCCCTGACAGCATGGGGGAATTTTTCTAAAAAAAACAAAAACCTCATAAATTTTCCCGTGCGGGTCGTACCCCATCTGGAAAAACCCCGACATTCTACAAAACAAAAATTGTGAAAAAACTTTCCGTACTGGAAAATAAAGGTTTTACATATCGGGGATAAATTTGTTTGAAGGTAGGGGGTTTATCACATTTCGCTGGGTTTAAAATTTTGCAATTGGAATTAAAAAAAATTTTAATTCTTAGAAAAATAAAGCAAAAAAAAAGGCTTTTAATTAGAAATAAAATTTTAAGCATATTGATGGAAGGTTTAATAATTCCAACTAAAATTTCAAAAGTTTTTTAGAAAAGAACCCCCCCCCCAAACTATTTTAAAAGTTTATCCCAAGGACACTAAATTTAAACCCTGGATGATCTAAAATTATCTTTTCCCCTTTTTACTAAATGGGAAAAGGTTTTTTTATCATCGGCTTTGAACAAAACATCTGGGTTTATGATATGCCTAAAACTTTTAAACCCAATAAACCAAAAACCCCCCAAAAATTTAAAAATTTAAATAAAATTACAAAAAACCTCCACAACACGATTCCCGGCAAGAATTCAAAAATTTAAAAAATTTTAACCCATCATGTCCACAGTGAAACAGGCAATCGATTTGGGATAAATTTAATTTTAAACGGCGCATGGTTAGCACCCCGGTTCGGGGTGTTTCGGGGTTACAGGTTTTTTAAGGATCTATCACCTTTGGCCGGGGTTGAAAAAATTCAAATTTTTCCCCCTTCATTGTTTGCTTGGGTGTAACTTTGGGGGAAGTTTCTAGGGAAAAAAAAAACGGTTTGTTGGCATCCCCTCCCAAATGAATCGCAAAGAAAACTACCCTCATGAATTGGGGGTTAAGGATAAACTCAACATCAATCAGTACAGAAAATCTGTTTTTGGGATCTTTAATTTAAATCTTGAACAGCTTCTGAAACCCCATCAGACCGATCTCTTTTGGGCCCCCCTTGGATCGGGCTCCTTTCCCCCCTTAAGTTTTAGTGGGGGGCAAATGGGGGTTTGGCGTCTTGGGGGGCGCGGGGGCCCTATTTTGGGGGGCCCCTTGGGCCCGGGGGGGGCCTGGGGGGTGCTGGGAAGGGGGGTGCCTGGCGGGTCGGCCCGGGGGGACTGTTGCCCCCGGGGGGCGGGGTAGGGGCGCCGGGGGGGGGGTCCGGGGCGGCCAAACTTTGCGGTGCCCCTTGGGGGTTTCCCGGTTTGGTTTGGGGGGACGTGGACCTATTTCCTGGGTGGGCCTTGCTGGCTGTTTGGGTGGGGGCTGGGCCCCCCCGGGCTTTCGGGGTTCTTTTTGGGTGCTGGCCCCGGGGTGCTTCGGGCTCGGGCCGGGGGGTCGGGGCTTGCCTCGTCTTCCGGTCCCTTGGGTTTTGGGTGTTTGGGGCCCCCGGGGTTTCTTGCCGTGGTTGCCTTTTCGTCCGGGGGGGGGGCGGTGGGTCGCGGCCTGTGGCGGGGGTTTCGGTGTTCTGTTGGGGGGCGGGTTGGGGGCGTCGGGGGTCCCTTTTGGGAGTGCCCCCGGGTCGGGGGTGGGCTTCGCTCGTTGGGGGGGTTTGCCGGGTTAAAGCGTGGGGTGCGGTGCATCGTGCGGGGCTTGGGGGGGGGGGTTGCTCGGTTTTTTGGGGGCGGGGGGGGGAGGGGCCGTGGCCGGGCGTGGCCGTCCTCCTCTCGGGGGGCCCTGGGGGGGGTTTGGGGGGCCCGGGAGGGGTTTGGGTCTTTTTTTTTCCCTTTTCCCGCCGGGGCGCGGGGGGGTGGGGGGTCGCGTCTGCTGTTTTCTTTTTGCTGCTTGTCCCCCCGGTTTTTCTGGGGGCCCGGGGGGGCCTTGCTGCTTGGCCCCTCTGGCGGGGCCCCGGGTTGGGGCTGTTTCTGCCCTTTGCTTTCCCCTTTTGGGTTTGTGTTTTTGCTGTGGTCGGGGGGGGCGGGGGGGGTTTCGTTGGGGTTTTTTGGGGGGGGGTCCGCCGGGGGGCCCTTGGTTGGTGCCGTGGGTTTTCGCCCCCTTGTGGCCCTTTCCGGTGTTGTTTCTTTTGGGGGCCTTGTTTCGGGCCCCCGATGCCGGCGGTGCGCCCCGGGGAAAAATTCCCCGGGTTTCGGGGGCCCCTTGCCTGTCTCCTGGGGGGGCAGGCCATTTAAACTTTTCGGGGGGAGGAGCATCTGGGTGGGGGTCCTCCCTGGTTTTGGCGGTGGGTGTTGGGGACTGGCTTGTTTGCGGGCCCTTCCCCCTCCGGTGAGGGGGAGAATTTTTAATTAAATTTTTGTTTTTGTTTTTGTTTGTTTTTTGTATGGGGGGGGGTTTTGTGGGCGGGGGGATCGGGGCTTGGAGTGGGGCTCGGGATTTTGCGCTTGCTGTGTTGTGTGGCTTTCTTTTCTTCGGATTGGGGTGGGACCCCGGGGTTTGGGGGGGGTCGTTTGGGGCCGGGGTCGGGGGGGTGGCGGGTCCCCTTTTTTCCCCTTCCCCCCTACCCCTTCCCCTTTTTTTTCCCCCTTTTGGGGGCCCCCCCTCCCGGGGGTTTTTTGGGCGGGCCCCCTTTGGGGGTTGGTTTTGGGGGGATCCTTGGGCCCGGGCCTGTGGCCGGGGTTTGCCCTTGGGCCCCCTGGGCCCGGTGGGGCCCGGGGGGGTTTGGGGGCCCGTGGGGGGGGGGGGGCCTGGGGGGGTTCCCTTTGGGGTCTTCCCCCTTCCACGGGTTTTTCCCGTGGGTGGGGGGGGGGGGGGGGGATGGAATTCCCCTTTGGAATTCTTTTTTTCCCCCCTTTTTGGGGTTTTACTCTTTAATTGGGGGGGGGGGGAGGGGGGATTTAAACTCCCGGGGGGGGTTTGGGGGGGGTTTTGGGGAAAAGCTTTTGAAGGGTTTGGGGTTTTCCCCCCCTGTCTTGGCCTGGGTTTTGGGGGGGTTTTTTAAGGGGGGGGTTTTTGGGGGCCGGGTGCCCCCGGGGGGTTGGGCCGCGGGTTTGGGGTTGGGGCCGGGTTTGGGGTTGTCCCTTCCCTATTCATTTAAATTTTTTTATTATTATTATTTTTTTTCTTATCTTCCTTTTAAAAATTTTTTTTTTTATTTATTTATTTTTTTTTTATTTTTAATTTTTTTTTTTTTTTTTAAATTTTTTAAATTTTTTTTTTTTAATTTTTATTTTTATTTTTACTTATTTTTTTTTTTATTTTTTTTTTTATTATTTTTTTTTTTGGATGGACAGGACGGGGGGGGGGGGGGGTGGAGTCCCGGGCCCCCCCTGCCCCGGGTGGCTGGTGGGTCCGCTGCCGGTCCCTGCCCCCCGGGCCTATGGGGGTGAAACTTTGGGGGGGCCCCCTTTCCCCTGGGGGGGCTTTTCGGGGGAAAAGGGGGGGGCCCATTTTAGTCAGCCCGGGGGGGCGGCTCCCTGGGAGTGCAGCAGGCACCCCAGTCCTTTGCCCCCCCATCCCCGAAAATTTCCCCCCTCTTCCCCGCTCCTACACTTTGGCCACACTTTTTAGGTTTTTGGGGAGGGGTTTGTTACTGGAGGGGCCCCCCACCCCTTTTGATGACGTCCCCCCACCCAATTTTTTTTTTTGCATTTTAGACACTTCCATCTACTTTATTTTCACAACACACACCTTTTTTTGGGCATTTTCGGGGGGTGGGGGTAGGGCCACCCGGGGGGGGCTTAAAAAAAAGGGCCCACCACCGGGCCCTCCTCCACCCCTCTCGCTTTTAGACATTGAGGGGTTTAGGGGGTTTCCCAAGGGGGGGGGATGTCTGGCACCGTCTATCTCCTGGAGGGGGGGGGGGGGAGTGTGCCCGGCCCCCCCCTCCTTGGGATCCCCCCGTTTTAATTAACCCTCTGAGAGCAACACGCAACAACACCACATTCGAGGGGGCGCAGTGAGGATCGGGGGCCCTTTTCACACCCCTTTTTTCCCGGCTCCCGCCGGAGTCTGGGGCCCCGGAGGAAGAGCGGGCCAAAATGGTCCGGGGGTTTTTTTGGGTGGGGCTGGCTGCGGGGCCCAGGGGCCTGCTGGTGGCGGGGCTTCACCTCTGCTCTCTCCAAAGAAGGTTGGAAAGGAGGGGCTTTAAGTGCCTGGGTTTGGTTTTTTTTTTTTTTTTTTTTTTTTTTTTTTTTTTTTTTTCGGGGGGGGGGGGGGGGGGGGTTCTTTGGGTTGGGGGGCCGGCGCGGGGATTTGGGGGGGCCCCGGGCCCGGGGGGGGTCTTTCGGGGGGGGGGTCCGGTCCGGGTGCGGGGGGGGGGCCCGGGCCCTTTAAGCCGGAAAGAAAATGGGGTTGGGTGTGGGGGGGGGGTGTCCCCCCCACCCCCCCCCTCACATCTGGATTTTAGGGCCAAATTTTGGGGGGCATCCCATAGTTCCCCCGGGGCCGACCAAACCGGGGTAAACCGGGGGGTTTTTTGGGCCGGGGATTAAAAGGATGTGAAATGTTATGTGTGAATGTGTGTCCGGTTTTTATTTTTTTTATTTATTATTTTATTTTTTTATTCAAATTTTTTTTTTTTTCTTTTTTTTTTTTTTTTTTTTTGTGGGACGAGTGGGGGGGACTAGGGGGGAAGGCATGATTTAGTGGTGTGTTTTTTTTTTTTTTTTTTTTTTTTTTTTTTTTTTTTTTTTTTTTTCCCCGTTTGGGGGCCCCAACCGCCCCCCAACCCCCTCCCAAATAATCTCCCAATTCCCCCGCTAAGTGCGGAAAACCCCTTCCCCCCCCCCTCTTCCCCTTTCCCCTGGGTGGCGCCGGGGGTCACCCGGGCACTGGTGGAGCTGGGGGTGGATGCCCGGGGGACTGCTGGCTCATTCCTGGCGGCCTCTCCGCTGGCCCCGGCCTGGTGCGGGCTGCGGGGGGGGTGGCGGACGTGGCTGGGCTGCTTTGGCATCGTCCGGTGGGGGGGCGGCGCGGTTCGCTCCGCTCTGGCTTTGTGCTGCCCCTCGGGCTGCTGGGGGGGGTGGTTGCGCCGGCTGCGGTCTGCTCCTCTTGCGGTTTTGCGCCGGGCGGCTTTTCTGCTCTCGGGCTGATTCTGTGCGCGGTGTGTTTCGTTGCGCGCTGTTGGCATCGGTCTTGGTGGGGTGGGGCTGCGCTTTTGGCCGGGGGGGCGTTTTGGGGGGGGTCCCGCGGCGCTCGTGGCCGGTTCGCGGCGGATGCGCATGGGCCCCGGCCGGGGGCGGGGCCGCCTTAGTGTTTTCCTGGGTGGTGCGGTCGCGGTGGGTGTTGCGGCCGGTCGCCGGGGCTTGGTGCGGGGGGGCGGGGCGTGTTTCGGTGCTCTGTGGGGCTGGGGCGTTTCGGTCGGCGCCGTGGGGGGGCTGGTGTTCGGCGCCCGGCCCTACTTCGGGGTGGCCGGCTGCCGGCGGGGCCCGCGGACTCGTCCCCGCGGCTCCCCGGGGCGCCGGCATGGCGGTGGCTGGGGGGCTTCCTCGTGGCTGTCTCTCCTCCTGCCTTGGTGGGGTCTGATTTCCGGGGCTGGCCCCGCCTTGGTGCCTTCGCTTCTGGGGTCCCCTTGGGCGCCTGGGGCTTTGGGTCTCCCGGCGCTGGACTCAGTGCTCTGGGGGGTGTGCCTCTCCGGCTCTCCACAACCACTATTGAGCATTTTTTTCTATGGTTAAAACTTTACATGCACAAGTTCACCCTCACAAACAACTACAGGTGCTAGGCTTCAGGTACTTAGAGATTCACTTCCAAACAGAAACCCCACATTCATATCTTCAGGTAACACAGAGTACATGTCAGACTTAATAATATTACTTTAGTGATAGTTTCAAGGTGTTTGCTTTATTGTATATCTCGTACCATGTTTTTTGGTTGTGCTGTTCTTTTTTCTTTTTTCTTTTTTTTTTCTCCATCTCATTACAGGTGTTGAAGCAGACTGAAAATGTTTTGTCATTGTCTCCTTCCTATCTCCTCTTTCTTTCATCTTTTGTCCTGTTTTTTTCTTTTTCTTTTTCCTTCTTCTTCTTCTGTTTTTCTGCTCTACTTACATTGCAGTGTCCATATGAACTGTAAAACTCCCTGCATAATTATAATAAAGCAATTTATATACATGAAACAAGTGGAGCGGTATGGCAATTGCGATACCGCTACACTTGTGAAAGTAAAATCTGTTGGGCTCCTTTTGGCATCAAGACAATTATTCTTATTGCCACCTTGCCAGACAGGACACTGTAAAAAAAAAAAAAAAAAAAAAAAAAAAAAAAAAAAATATATATATATAAATATAAAAAATATAATCGCAGATGTCTGGCAGACAGTGATTCGCCTACATGTTATGAATGCTGGCGTACCATAAAGAATAAATTATGAACAGTGTTTTCAACTCATTGCCCATAGGAAGACTAGGAAGACGTTACTTGGATATAACCTAACCAAATATCTTTAGAATGGCTCCAAATGACACAAAACTAACATAGGTCAGTAGAACATGATGTAATAACGTAAAATCAAGGGCCCAATGTAAAAAAAACTTTGTTCACCTTTAAGTTTTATTAAAAGCATGTACCTTTGAATAATTAAGTATTTCAAAAGTGAGTAATTCAGTACATGTTTACTGTTTGACTGAGTAACTTTTACTTGTAGTGGAGTAAGAGTTGACTATGAGTATCAATATTTTTACTCAAGTACTGCTGTTGAGTAGTTCATCCACCACTGATTAAATAACAAAATGTTTAAAACTTTGACAAAGTGCAAAATCTGCTTTTGGCATTAATGACGCCATTTTACATTAATGTTATGGAAACCTCTGACTTCAAGCAAACATAACAGCACTGTTGGTGCCAGCAAACCAAACAACATTAAACGAGCTCTAACAATCCCACGACGAAAAGATTACAAATATCCGACCTTAAGTTTACCAGAAGCTTCTTGATGGCTACAAAAGCAGCTGCTCACCGTGCAACCCACACCCTTATCCCCCATTAAGCCAAATATTAGTGGGGGGTGGTGTATTTATTCCCTCTTGCATGGGTAATTTGGACTCTGTTTGGATTACAGAAAATCCACAATAATTTTGAACCTGCGCACCTAATTCTTGTTTTGAACAGCCCTGCAGATGTGCGTCGTATTACTGTCTAACCCTGAAATAACAACTATAAAGACACAAACTTTTGATTTGACAACTGATATTTTTGTTCCATAAAAGAACAAATGTTTCAAAGATATATTTCTTTAAAACAATATGGAATCTTTT